GATAATCAGCGGTGCCCTATCTGTTGCATCGAGCAGGATGGATAGGGGTTTGGATGCTACTGCTCAAGCCTTCCCATCTTTTTATTCCCCTTCTTGCGCTTTTTCACCCTCATCGTCCCGTTTCAGCTTCACTTTTATCCCCCCTGTTTTCAACCCCCCAATTCTCGGCCCTCCGCTACCTTGCTTCAATAGTCGCTTGTCTTTTAGTTTCAACTCACAGGTGCACGCAGAGCGTCATTCCTGCACTGTCAACAGGCCCATGTCCAACCAAGCGGCCCATTCCAGTTCATCGACTTCCATTTGGAGCCCTCGGTCCTCCTTCAGACTGGCATGCCTCAATGTTCGCACATTGCTTCAGATCGGTCAACAGGCAGCACTTGCCCAAACATTGGAGACCCTCTCGATCGATATCTGCTGCTTATCAGAGACCCGCCTGCAAGACTCGAGCTCTGTACTCACTCTGCGATCCCCTTCAGTGGACGCAAGCAGTATTTTCTCCTTGCGCCTATCCGGTGACGATGCAGCTTCGAGCACCGGCCAAGCCGGTGTTGGTATTGCCCTGAGTCCCCGGGCTGAGGCTGCTCTGGTTGATTGGATTCCAATCAGTAGCCGGATGTGTGCGGTCCGATTGGCTGGCTCGTTCAAAACTTCGAAGTCGCATGGGACTAACAGGTGTCTATTCGTTATCGCTGCCTATGCACCGACAAACTGTAGCGATGACTCGGTAAAAGACGACTTCTACCGCCAACTGAACGAACTGCTTCGCCACAGAAGACGCTCGGACACTGTAGTGCTGGCCGGGGATCTGAACGTTCAAGTTGGAAAATTATCCACAGATGAGCTGCATCTAGGCGGCCAACATGGTATAGGCTCCCGTAATGATAACGGTGAGCGGTTACTACATTTGTGTGAGGATGCTTGCTTATTTCTTGCGAGCACTAATTTCCGACACTGTACCCGCCGGAGGGTGACTTGGCGCCCACCAGCCTCGAACCAGCTATGGACGCAAATCGATCACATTGCTATCAGTTACCGCTGGAGAGGCTGCGTCCAGAACTGTCGCTCGATTTGGAGCACAGGTGTTGACACCGATCATGCACTTGTATGTGCTGACCTGCGGATGCGCTTTGGCGGACGCCCGCGACGATGTTGTGAGCGCATTGACACAGGCAGACCGGTGAATCCAGCTGTTCTGAACGCCTATCAAATTACGCTGTCATGCGAGTTGGATAAGCGCTCACTGGATGCAATTGAAGCTCACTGGTCTCATATGCAACAGGCCTTACTAGCAGCAGGCGAATCCTCATGTGATAAGTCTAATCGCCAACATGGACATTGGGTCTCTTCACATTCTCTGGAACTTATCGATGTTCGCCGGCATATTCCGGCTGGAAGCGAACACAACGAAACACGCAAAGAGCTCCGGGCAGAACTCCGTGCTAGCCTGAAGAGAGACCGCGAATCCTGGTGGTCTCGTCGTGCAACAGAGATAGAAATGGCCGCTGCCCTTGGTAACCATCGTAAGTTATTCCGTCTGATGCGGGAAACGGGCAGCAGGAGACCTGGTGTTAGTGAAACAATATGTGACGAGAGTGGACAGCCTATCCACAACTTGTCAAAACGTTTAGAGCGTTGGACTGAGCACTTTGAAAGGCAATTTAATCGGTCGGAATTGTTAGATTTCTCGCCGACCAGTGCTCGCGCCGCTCCGTGGGCTGTCCCTTTGGATCCACCCTCTCGCTCAGAAGTCGAACATGAGATCAAACTGTTGAAGTTAAATAAATTCGCGGGACCAGATGATCTTTCTCCAGCCTTCTTCAAATTCGGGGGACCTGCTCTTGTGGATGATTTACACGAGTTACTAGTGAGACTGTGGTAGCAGGAGACTGTCCCAACCGATTGGAGCCGCTCCATCATAGTCCCAATTTTCAAAGGGGGCTCACGATCGGAATGCGGCAGCCATAGAGGAATCAGTCTGATCTCCATCGCCTCCAAATTGCTTGCCTCTGTCATCCTTCACAAACTGACTGGCATTCGTGAAAGCCAGATTCGCGAAGAGCAAGCTGGATTTCGTCGAGGTCGTAGCTGCATTGACCACATCTTCACCTTGCGTCAGGTGTTGAAGCACCGTCACATATATTGGCGGCCCACCGTTGTCGTGTTCCTCGATATCAAAGGTGCATTCGATTCGGTGGATAGACATGCACTTTGGGACTGTCTGTTGAGGAAAGGTGTACCTGAGAAATATGTGAATATAATCCGAGCATTATATGCGCGTAGCTCGGGCAGAGTGAAGGCTTACGGCAAGTTGTCGTCGCCCTTTAATATCTCCAGCGGCGTGAGACAAGGATGCCCGCTGTCACCTTTCCTCTTCAACTTCGCTGTTGACGAAGTCATGGAAATCGCGTTCACAGGACACGACTTGGAAGGTGTGGATCTGCTCCCAGGAGAACGACTTCTTGATTTAGAGTATGCAGATGATATTGCCCTAATGTGTGATAGCTCCTAGACGTGCCAAGCGGCACCGGACAGATTAGCACTGGCTGTCAGCCGCTTCGGGCTTTGCTTTGCACTATCGAAATGCAAAGCGTTTCTCCAAGTTTGGTCTGTACCGCCTTCTACGCTGACCCTTGGTGGGGATCAGCTGGAAGTCGTTCAAAAATTCAACTACCTGGGAAGTTGTATCAGCGCCCGTGGGATTGAAGATGAAATCACGAATCGTATAGCAAAAGCTCGGGGCGCTTTTGCTAACCTTCGCCACTTATGGCGCCGGCGCGACATCACTCTTGCCCTGAAGGGTAGAGTGTACAAGGTAACGGTACGTTCGACCCTACTGTACGGTTGTGGAACCTGGCCGCTTAAAGCAGCGGACCTGAAGAGGCTAGTTACGTTCGACCACCGGTGCCTTCGCAATTTACCTCACATGTGGTGGGAACACCGCGTGAGTAACAAGCGTGTTGGACGCCTTGTTTATGGCACAGGAAAAGGATCTGAACCGCTCAGCACCGTTATTTCACGCGCCAGGCTCCGATGGCTCAGCCACGTGTTACGCATGCCAGCCCACCGAGTTCCGCAACGTGTGTTGTCCGCGCGCCGGGGGTGTGGATGGAAGAAGAGGAGGGGTGGCCGAGCGATGACTTGGTCGAGAGGAATGAAGGCCCTCACTTTTGAGCTGGCCTCAGTTGGAGCGTCACGGCTCCCTGGTTGGGGTCCGCAGGACGGTGAACACGTTTGGTTGGACACACTTGCTGATATGGCAAGGAGCCGACCTCAGTGGCGTTCGTGCTTTGAGTTTCTTTGTCCCACCCCATCCCCCTTAGCCTCCCCCTCCAACCACGATCTCATTACTTAGCCTTATATAATTTTGCATAATAATTTTTTGGGTGCACAGCAGCCGGCTTGTAGCTTACCCGAACGATGCCCATCCGTTACCGGTAGCTCAGCCAGCTTTCATCAGTTGTCTTTTTCTCCTTTTTTCTTTGTATTGCGGCACAGTAGCTGAGGTGTTTACCACCTGTAGCTAACGTGTATGATGATGATGATGATGATGCACGAGCCGTATTATCTTGGTGGCTACTCTGGTAGGACGTGACGCTTGTCGTGTCTTTCATGGTCCAACGGTTTCAGCTGTGTATTCGACAGAGTGGGGTTGCAGGTTCTAGTCTCCCCCCCCCCGCTTACCGAGCAGATGCGATGCATGCTTTCGGGGAGTCTCAATAAGGGAATGCGGTCATTCAACACTCTTCTGGTTGCACAGTGTCTATCTGAATGCGTATGTAACTGAATTTTCTTCAATTTGAGCCAAGTCTCCTCTGCAATGCTCTATAAACTTTACCGCTTCTTTTTTGAAATGTTTGATGATCTTTATGATTTAGCGCATGGTTTGATCTGCTTCCAATCGAGTTTTCGGTATCGACAGTTTCTTGTTGTATCACCCAATACATATCAGTCTTCACATTATCTCCGACTTTCCTTTTGACCACTCTCTTGGTTTCCTACATCGCACTCGCAGAGAAGCAGACAACCTGCTCTTGTTCCTTTGCATGAAACAACCTTCGGCGTAAATCTGAGACCAATTTTTTGAACCTTTTGCACACTTTTGACAGATTTTCCACACATATCGAGATAATTCAATGTTACACATGGCTTGGTCTCTCTGTATCGCTATTCATGTCCCAAACACGTTTGTTCATGTTCAATGCTTGACACCATTGAGCATCCACTTTTGCGGATATCATGCTGAATGTCATCCGATCTTTTATTTGTGTTGGTCATGCAAAGTGTATGGTTTGATGCTCGTCCAAAAGCATACTTTGTTGACGGTTGACAGTTTTCGGAAGAGGCCTACCCTGCCCAGTAGCTATGAGGTCAACCGGTCACCCAACTATCCTTTCTAGAAGGTTTATTATTTTAACCTGTATTCTTTTCGCTTGGATTGTTTGTTGCATACACTGGATCCCAATGGGAGGTACAGAAATACGAAGGACTCTCCTGACTGTTGCCACATTTTCTTTTACTGTTCACATTGACTCTGAACTATTTCTTTCTGGTCTACTCTCACTGTCGCGTTTGTTTTACACACTGATCTGTTAAACATTCAGAATTGTGTGGTTAGCTAAACCATTGGAGCAGTTCTTTTCCTGGTGTATTACTACGAGGTCACAGCAAAATCGTTCCTCTGCCAATGAGCCATCAAGCGAATTTGAATATATTTGCATTTTCTCAATTCGTTAGAAACTATGATGGGCGGTTCGCTAGACTTTTCAGATAGGTTTCATGACCTTTTTCTCTGCCTACTGCGGTTGCTAGGCCCTTCGAAACGGCCCCGGATTTTTCTGCTGAGAACGTTTCGTCTTTGTTCCTCTATGCGGGTATTTGAACACCCATGGCGATCACTTGTTTCTGTCGAACAGAAGTTTTTCGGTATGATATTTTTCGTCCAGTTTATCAGCAAACGTTTTCTTCTATTCGCTCGCACCCCTGCATCGGTAACTTTTCAGCTTCCCATCAAAGCTTCAACTCCCATTCGCAACCGCTTCGTCGATATTGAGATTAATTGGCTCCATGCCCCTTTGGAAGATCAGTCAGTGGAGTTATTAGACATGGTCGCCCATGGGCAACTTACCCCACTGCTGTGCCATCTCATTGGCCTCCCGTTGGTTCAGGTCACTCTGGATCGCGTGTACACAATCCCCGATCTGCGTAGCACATTCCAGCCCAAACCCCCCAAAGGATCGGTGATTGACAGCGAGGCTGTAGATGGGCCGCATAAGAATGACATTCTCACCCTGATGTACAATGCGGATGGAAGCATGTCAGATTTCCAACTAGGTATACTGGGCGCATACGACAATTGCATTCCGTCGTCCAGACGTATAACCGCGGACTCAGCTCGTGTGAGTCTTCTCCCAGGGTCATATTTCTTTACAATATTATTTTACTTGTGTTCCCTCGCTTACTCGGTTCTCCACCCTTTAGTTGTCGCTGAAATCAAAGTTCAAAAATTCGGCCGACGAAGATTTGTGCATCACGGACGGCGTGAGTGAGAAGTCCGACTACATCCCTATATGTCTTCTGTGCCCTCTCACACGCACTCGAATCGAGGTAAGTTCTGTTTGGACAATGACCGATTCCATCATCATCATCATCATCCACTGTTCTCATGGCTCTCCGCACCCCTGCATCACTCTTCCACACTCTTCCCACTTTCTTCTCAGCTTCCGGTGCGTTCGGTCAGCTGTGAGCACTTGCAGTGCTTCGATCTGACCTCCTACTTAACCATAAATCGCCGTCGACCTCGATGGTCATGTCCCATCTGTAGCAACTCCGCGCCGTTTCGTGACCTTCGTTTGGACGAGTACGTTTTCGTTATTTTTCCTTTCACTCGTTATCCATCTATATTTGAAGCATCAGTCAATACGCTCGTCATTGCTTCTTTGTCAAAGTCCTTCACTCCCCTCCTTAGGGACATTCAGCCCGTGTACGTTTTGTGGTATATTTCCCATCAAGTGGAATACGTTTTCCTTTGGGGGAGAGGCGATCAGTTTACAAATGAGTAGTGCTGTCGTTTTCTCATGCCCTATTGAATCACAAGTGCCGGTGTTAGCAAATGGGTTTCTTCTGCCGGATATGTCTCTCTCCAACCTAGCTGTTTGTTCACTTACTCAGACCCAGATCTAGCTTGATTCATTAGGCTACCGGCTGTTAGAGACGCGTGCCTCACTAGCATGTTTTTATTGCATGTTGAACCAGGTAGGTATAGAAAGCATTGTATTCAGTGGTCCAATACAGTGGATAACAGATCAAGTACATCGTTAACCCCAAGCGTGTTTGGGCACTTTATCGTTATACATATCCTCTATATCTGTGATCGGTTGTGCCCGTGTGCAGCTCATTTGCTGGATGCTGTGCGAATCTACATTGTCGTCCACGAAGGGTCCAAAACCTGTGATCCCACATTTTGGAAACTGAAGCAGGTGACCGGCTCGTCTACTAAGTTCTCCGGATATATTTTTCCCAAACTTGCGTGATAACCTCAGGGTAAGGGGAGGAAGGAAAATCCGTCGATCATTCGCTACTTAAGTGGAGAGCACAGATATAACGTTAACGATTCTATATTTTCCGTGATTTCGAGTCAGAGACGTTTGACTCAACCCTCGTCCGGAGTTTAGAGTGACTGAGCTAGGTGGGATGAAGGCATGCATGATAGCTTAAACCTGGGGTGTTGGCGAGAGTATGTCACCATAATCGGTTTGGCTGGTGTTCCCTGAATTCGTCACTGGGTGTCATCTTCACTGTGTTCCACGCATTTTGAACAGACTTTCTCTGATTTCATAACTCAGTGTAGCATTTGGATTTGTCCGATTGGAAGTGTCACCTTAGTGCGCATACCTTCTACTCACCATCTTAGCAGTATGTGCGGCGATGGGTTTTTCAGTTTCCGCTGTTTTACTCATTTGAAACAATGGGGTCTCCGCTCCCGGTTTCTTTTCCCTACCATCACTGACGATGTGCCAGTACTCGCATCCACGTGATTTACAATGAGCGTATGGGCTCTGACGCACTGATTATCTCCGCTCAGACCCTCGCTGTTCCGAAACGGACCACATGTCTATCTAACTTACCGTTTTCCATAAGAATACGGTCTCAGTCTACGCTTTGTATGTTCACAATATTCTGGGATGACCGGTCAGTATTTCGGTTCACACCTTCTGCTATAGCTATCGACCAATCAGGAATAGTCGGGGAGGGATTTAGTTATTTGCTCAGTCGTTTTAACACTGCGTAGTTGGAAATGTGCTCGGGAACCATACAACGAGGACCAGAATTACCTCCGTCGCTCGTCGCCGTTTGTTGGGACTTGGGCCTATCACCAACCCTCCGCCGATTGCTGTGGTATCCACACGACTCTAATCTGTTTCCCTAGCGCAGCCATTCATCCTGATCTAGGAGCACATAGTTAGCAACTTCATTCGATCATTGCTGCTACGGCAGTTCTACTCGGGTCCCTTTGGAATGTAACAAGAGCAGTCAGTGGTTGGCTTCAGTCATTACCGTTATCTTAAAACTCTTTAAATCTTTTACGTCCGTCACATGTGGTTTCGATTGCTAGACTGTTTGTTCCGCGTTCACTTTTGCGTAGACCATCGCTCAATTTAGAAGTGAACAGGGTTTCACACAAAGTCTTGGTCTACCGCGAGTGGTACGATCATTTAACTGGAGACTGCGTCAGATTCCCACAAACAAAGCTTGCAAATGTGTGCTTTCCACCATTCGCATGTTCTGCATGGGATTTCTCCAATCTCCATTTAGGTCGATCGGCTGCATGAGTATCAGGGCTTCAACTAGTTCAGGTGGCTTCGAAACAGTGTGCCGAGGTCGATACTACGCACTCAGTAACACTCCTTTATGACGTTACTTATGAACCCAGATCCGATAGATCCAATTGCGCTTGATCTTTGCCGATGAAGGAAAAGCGTCAGACTTGGGAAAGACATGTGCTGAGAGATACGAACTTTCAACCAGAAATGCAACGGATGAGCAGTCATTGAAGGACCATAATTATCGGGAAAGAAGAAGGCGGCAAGAGATCAAGCATCGTTGCTTTCCCGAATAAAATATGCCGTTTGGGTTCCTTGGTCATGGATGTGGCCAGTACTGATGCATCCACTAAGAGGTTAGGCATCTGCTTGCACGGCATAATTTTTCTATCAGATTCTCCACATCATTTTGCCATTTCATCAACCAGACATTCTGGCTCTTGTCCGCGCCACGTGCCTTAATAGCAAACAGAACACACTGATGTAAACGGCGAACACGTGAGCTCTCCAGCCTTGGCAGCGCAAACGCAAAAGACGGTCGCTTAGAGTGTCAAACTGCCTTCCGTCAAATACCGATTGCCGGCGCGTCCCATCAAGCATACACATCGCTCCGTTAGTCGGCCGGTTCCCGAGTTGTCTGCTTGCCTGGTTTGCAACCATAAGGTCGCCGGTTCGAATCCGCTTAGGAGTGGGTGTCCTCACAGGATACTCAGCCTGCGCGCGGCAGCGAAGCGCCGTCACGGCGTACAGACGACACATTATTATTATTATTATTATTATTATTATTATTATTATTATTATGAATTCGTTCTTAAAGACGAGTGGTTCAGTGACATCTTCAGCCTGCAGTAGCTACAGTCCGGGTCTGCGTGTCAACCCTCAGTGAACTACGACTTTGTGACTGTCTCCTTGACCCGTTCTATTGATATCTCATCGTATCCACAGATCTCTGAGGCTTTGAAAGCTACATGGGGACTTTTACAACACGCATTACTTTTCCTACTAAATTGGTCACTATAAAGGATTCAACTGTCTAGATGAAGAAGATCCTCTCGATCACTTTGTGTGTCTGTTCGGCGGCATTAGGAACCGGAGACTTGTCCCGCAGTCCTGTGATATTTCCTTGCTATTTTTGGCAGCGAAGCACATATTGGCGCATACAGTACAATTTTTAGCAACGACTACATAGAGGCTAGCCATTTCCCGGGGGGGGGGGGGTTATATCGTCTAGTTGGTTCAATCTCAACAGGTAGCTACTTAGTAGGTCAACTTTGGAAGAACCATATGAGGTGAATTATCCATGATTTTTGGACTACAATTTGAAGGCAATCGAAAATGATGACAACCTTGATGCACCCTACTTGTCTCATGGTGCTCACATCATACATCATTATTCTACATATTAGCTCAGGATGAGGAACACCACAATTGTTGTGCCGCAACACAATGCAGGAGTAGAAAATAAACATAATAAACAGTAGCAAGTACAAGATAGGAACATGTAATATTTTGCTTCGTATTATTCTGCATTGGCACTGATCAAGATTGGAGAGGCGGGCTAAGCGAGATGTGGTGGGACGAAAGAACTCACAACACCAACACCGCAAGTCAGTTCTTGGTCATGTCAGCAAGTGTATCTTACCAAACGTGTTCATCGTCTTTCGGGCTCCAACCAGGGGGCCGACAGGATCCAACCGATGCCAACGTCAAAATAGGGGCCTTCATTCCTCTTGATCAAGTCCTCGCTTGACTTCCATTCACACCCCGGTCGCGCAAAAAACGCACCTCGCGGGAGCCGATGTGCCGCTATGATTAAGACGTTGCCCAACTATCGGAGTCTGATGTCGAGCGCTTCACTTCCTCTTATTGCGCCATAAATACGACGCCGAACGCATTCATTCCTCACGCAATTTTCCCACCAGACTAAAGCTTGGCTACGAAAGAAGCGATGGCAAACGTAACTAGCCTCTCTATCTTTCAACTTGATGGACCAGATTTTGCAACCGTACAGTAGGGTTGAATGCATGGCTGCGTTGTAAACCCTGCTCTTCAGAGAGAGAGTGATGGCGCGCCGGAGCAACAGATGGCGGAGATTGGCAAAAGTGCGTCGTGCTTTTGCTGTGGATTTTTGATCTCCCATTCCACTGGCGCTGATATGTTTGGCGGTATCCGGTTTCGGATTTGCCTGTCACTACGACGTCCACGGGGACAGCCACAAGACGCCTGCACCTATAGAGCGACCATGGGTGCCTTGTGCTGCATCACCCACAGTTCTACCCACACACCCCGTTCATATTGACATTGCGGACATCTACCGAAACGCACCCGGAAGTCGGCGCAGACAAGTGTGTGGTCAGAGTCCTTGCTCGTGCTCCAAATCGAGCGACAGTTTTGGACACCTCTCCAGCGGTAACTGATCGCGATATGATCGATTTGCGTCCATGGCTGGCCCGAAACTGGTGGGCGCCAAGTCACGCTTCTGCGGGTGCTGTATCGAAAGTTTGTGCTCGTGAGAAAGAGACGAGCATCTTCACACAGCTGTAGAAATCGCACACCGTTATCATTACGGGCGCCTACGCCATGTTGACCGCCCAGATGAAACTCATCAGAGGACAGTTTTCCGACTTGGGCGTTTAGATCGCCAGCCAACACCACAGTGTCCGTGCTTCTTCTGTTACAAAGGAGATCTTGAAGTTGGTGATAGAAATCATCTTTCACCGAATCAGGGCTGCAGTTTGTAGGGGCGGATGTCGCAATGACAAACAGACACCGTTTGTTCATGCCAGACAGGCGCAATGAGAATGTGCCTGCAGTGTCGCATGTGGGGGATCGCAGAATAAGCATGGAGCTGGAATTTTCCAGGTGAGTTTCTGATAAACAACAAATATCGATCGATAGGGTCTCCATTGTGCGAACATATGCTGCCTGTTGGCCAATCTGTAGCGAAGTGCGCACGTTGAGGCATGCCAGTATTAGCGAGGCGCTAGGACTCCAAAGGGAAACGGATGAACCGATCTTGTCCACTTGGTTGAACATG